TTGTGGCGACCAAAACTGAATGCAGGATTCCAAGTGTGGCCTTACCAAGGCATATAAAGTGGTATTAACCCTTCATGTGATCTTGATTCTATGCCTCTGTTTATGCAGCCTAGAACTGTGTTGGCTTTTTTGGCAGCTGCTGCACACGGCTGGGTCATATTTAAATAACATTTTAATAACATTGAAGGTCAAATCACAGGATGTAAGTTGTTCCAAGCAAAGCTGCCTTTTGCAATTGACTGATGGTAATTTTGTCAATGCCTAGGGATTCTCCAGATGTTTTCGGATTCCACCTAAGGTGCCTATTACTAAACAGACCTGTTCCATGAATGGATGTTAATTTTTTTGTAAAGGCTAAAAGTTCATACGCTTCTCTTTTTCTTCTTTCCCTGGATCGCTTAGGGTGACAGCATAATCACCATATTGCTTACTGAAGATGATCATGTTGAAAGTGACGATGTGATTTTTTACCTCGTTTTCACTGGATCTGCCCTTCAACATTGCACCAGCACTAGGAAGCTTGATTCAGGGAGGTTGGAAACCGTTGCTCCAGGTAAGCTTGCAAAAATAGGAGGCATAAAATCCTATCCATCCCTTTGCGCAGCTCTTAGTGCATTGGGTCCGTGCATCTGAATGGAGCACGGGTACAAAACTGGCACTCTCCCCATAGGAGTAGCATCGTGCCTGGGCACTCTATGGGGAAGCGTGGTTTGCTTGTGAGCCAGAGTGCCCAGGAAGAACTGGGCTGTAACTTGGATAGAAAGGTGGGCAGAGGAGAACACTTCCAGCGAATGACTTCTTTGTCGGAAAAAAGGGAAGGTGGGGAAATAGAAATGAAAACCATGGAGAACTTCACACAACTCTGAATCTAGCTTAGTAAAAGAGAGTTTGGTCTTATGACACTGGTTTGCTTGAACCTGTGTGTTGCATTGTGCTCAACATGCTAAAACAAGAGCTGGCTCTCCCAAGCATCCTGAACCACTAAGCCCCCACTTCCAGCATAGGGGAGATTGGCTGGAACATCAGTGGTGAAGTGGATTTTTAGAAAAGAGTGCAGCTTCCAGAGAAGATGGTCCCTTTGGCTCCCTTTGGAAAAAAACAGTGGGGCTTTCAAAGAATTGCTGGCACTAATTATGTGGTTGGAATTCTCCTCCCTCCCCACTCCCTCCCCCCCTCTTTCTATTTTCCTTCCCCTCTCTCTNGTCCTTTTTTTCATTAAACTAGCCATGCCCAGTTCCTGCAACCGTTCTTCCTATGTTTTAGCCTACAGTCCCCTAATCATCTTTGTTGCTGTTCTCTGCACTCTTTCTAGAGTCTCAACATCTTTTTTACATCGTGGCGACCAAAACTAGATGCAGTATTCCAAGTCTGACGTTACCACCCTTGGTCCTTTTGAACTCTGGCTCTTGACATCTTGCACCTAACAGGTTCTTCTCTTACTCAAAGGTTGAGGTTTCCTCGAGAGTCACTTAGGTACGATGGCCAGTTTAGAAATCTAATAAACCATTAAAAAGAACAAGAGGGCAGGATTCAAAAGAAACCAGAAGAAACCTCTGGAAAACCCCATGTTCCTGCTGTCCCAACCCCTTTTAGAATTCCTTCCACACATCTTCACGTTTCAGAAAGGTTTGCGACTCGAAAGAAAAGCTGACTGTTTTTAAGTGTCTGCCGAATGGCGGAAAGCAATCTGTTTTCCTTGGCAGTGGGGCACTGAGCCAAGTTAATGTTAGTCAGTCCAAACCAGGTACAAAATTAACTTATACTTTGTTTGCTTGTCTGGGCCAGAAGTCTGCTTTGATCTCGGGAGCCCTTTTTCTCCAAATGAGAGTTGGCAAGGCCAAGTAGTCATTTGTTAGCTGCTTTAAGTGAAGGGGGGTTATAATAACCACCTTGTGTGGTAGTGATCTCTAACAGATGACATTATTTGGGTAATAATAAACCAGGAAAAGTAAACACGCTTGAATTAAACGGCTCTTTCAGAGCTCAAGGCAGCCTTGCTGTTGCAGAGGTTCTTGTTCAGCAACCATTCGAAGTCACAACAGTGCTCAACAAGAAGACTTATGGCCGGTCCTTGAAGTTGTGGCTGTCGCGGTGTTCCCACAGTCGCAGGATCACGATTGGGGCACTTGGGCAACCGGCACACAGTTACAACGGTCACAGCTTCCCACAGTCACATCATCACCCCTTGCGATCTTCACGGCCAGCTTCCAATAAGTCAAGTCAATGAGGAAACCAGCCACCCCCTGATGTTGTGCTTAAGGACTGCACAGGATTCCTTAACAACCACAACCTCAACTGTCATTGTGCACTGAAGATCGCATTTAATTTTGTTGCACAAGGTGCAATGACAATAAAGTAAAGTAAAGAAAGGGGAAAGGCTTCCTTGATGGCAAAATTCTGGATTTATTTAAACCAGGATGCTTTGCCCTGAAAGGTGTTGAGCCTGTCTTCCTAACAGGCTGATCGGGTTTGTCGGAAATATAGGTAGTCTTTGCTCCATTTTATAACCTTTCTTGCCACAATTGTTCAGTCAATCACTGCAGTTGTGAAGTTAGTAAAACGGTTCTGAAGTGGACCTTTCCCATTGACCTTGCTTGTCGGAAGTTCGCAAAAGGGGATCGCAAGAGCTCCGGGCATTGCAACCATCATACATACACACCAGCTTGCCAAGCTTCTGGATCAGTGACCATGAGACAGCTGCAATAGTCGTAACTGTGAAAAACGGTCATAAGTCACATTTTTCAGTGCCGTTGTAACTTTGAAAGGTCACTAAATGAACTGTTGTAAGTCGAGAACTGCCTGTATCTGGACTCAGTCCTCTGTCATTTTCTAAAAATGAGACGAGATATTTTTGTTCGCTTTCTCGACAGGAGGAAAAAAATCATTTATGGGAACGATGCAGAAAATGACCTGGTTGAGGCTGAGGGTGGGGTCAAATGCATCATCAGTCTGGAGTCCCTATGCCCCCTCCCCC